AACTTTGAGTGCTTAAATGTATCTCCCTTTACACATGTCCCAAACAGAAAAAAATGCTTGTTGGAAATCATTACCAAAGTTCTTTCTCTGTGAGACCTAGAATAGAAGAAAAACAAGATTTGGGGAGAGAAGCTTTTCTGTAGAATTACTTCACAGTCAAGTCTTCAATTGTTCTTAGGAAACACAGTAAGAAAATAGTCATAATTAATCCATAACACAGTATAAATTAATGGATTATTTTTTTAAAAAATTATTACAGCATTAACTGTAACTGCTCACATACCTTTGGCATAAACAAGAATACCTGAGGGAAGATTACGTGGTCCCACATCACTGGAAAACACCTGGAATACAACTGCTCCACCAGAGCCTTCGATCCTCACCACTAACAGAATCAGCAGACTCTGCGTCCCTCCCCATGTGACAAAACAAGAAGTAAACTGCCACCGGTGAGAAGCACTCATTCAGAAGAGCTAAACAGAAATCCAACCAAGCGTCTAGTGCTAACTTCCATTTACAGAAAATACAGGGAAAAGAGCAAGTTAAATGACATCTGAGGGAAGTACAGAGGCCAACCCTGAATATGGGACCAGTCAACAGTTTCTGCAACCAGTTCACAGTAAAATATTCAAGAGACTTAAGAGCGCTAACAAGCAAATGTTTTATGTGGACACTGTTTGCAACCTTATTTTGTTTGTTTTCAAGAGACAAGGTCTCACTCTGTCGCCCAGGCTGGAATGCAGTGGCACAATCACAGCTCACTTTGAACTTGAACACAGCAGCTTCGAACTCCTGGGCTCAAGTGATCCTCCTACCTCAGCCTCTCGAGTAGCTGGCACTAAAGGCACATGCCGCCATGCCGAGATAATTTTTAAATTTTTTGTAGAGATGGGGTCTCATTGTGTTGCTCAAGCTGGTCTTAAGCTCCTGGCCTCAAGCTATCCTCCTGCCTTGGCCTCTCAAAGTGCTGGGAGTATAGGCATGAGCGACCGCATGCCTGGCCCTACATCCTTATTTTGAATAAATTAACTGAAAAAAAGACATTTTAAAGATAATAAAGGAAATATGATTATGGGTTGGACATAAAGTAATATCAGGAATTATTTTTAGGTCTCTGTGGTGATAATATTATGGTTGTATAAGAAAATACCTATTTTTCAGAGATTGTATGGTAGCATGCAGGAATAAAATGACATGATAATCTGGTATTTACTATGAAATCATTAAAAAAGAAAGAATTCAGGCAAATGTGTCAAAATCTTGATAATTACTAAGTGCAATGCTCAGTATATGGAGGTCACAGCATTTCTCTACTTATGAGTATACTTGAAAATTTTCAGAATTTCAAATGTTTAAAAACAGCTGAAAAAATCTAACAGTTAAAAAAAACTCTATAAACTCATATAATCAGAGAAATTTGTTACCAAATGCAACTTTTAAAAAATATTTAACTTGCAACTCTCAAAGCCTACAAACTTCTTTAGCATATGCCGTGAAATTGTGAAATGGTTCATGTCAGCCACCCGGACAACTTACCTGACAGTCTTTCAGCGCATTCTGAACAGAGGCCTGATCTCCAACTTGCTGCTGTTGTTTTAGTTTCTTTTCCTGAGTTTCAAACCAAGTTTTCAGATATTGTACATTGTTTTCATATTCTGACCAAGATTCCAGTAAGCCTTCCAACAGCTGGATCTGAACAAACATAATGAAATGAAATTTTCAATTTTATTTTAAAAATCACATCATTGCCAGGATAATTACTCTAGCCACTGTTTCCTCCAAATTAAGAATTTTTAAAATACAGTCCACCGTACGTACATACGATTTAAAAAATGAATTTTATAAAGTGTGAATACATGACTATTACTGGTAATCAAGAAAGGACTAAAGTCAACTTGAAGCAAAGGTAAAAGAAATTAAGAGGCATCTTTAAAAACCTGAAACAACATGAAATATACAGAGTAGAGGGTGCATAAGAGAAAATCATTAACAGGGTTAAAGAACGTTTATAGCGATTAACATTCAGTGGCATTGTTGGAGGCATTCTTGTGCTAGTATAGCCATGCTACTCGTGAACTGAGTTTTCCTTACAGAGTGTGCCTGTTCTTGGGGCTTTCATGTAAATATGGACAGCAGCAGGCCATCTGGCTTACCTTCTCAGTTACTAGACCTTGCAAGATTTGCCAACTTTTGTTCATTGCTCCAAGTTGCTCAGCAAAATCCGTCTTGTCACTACGTTTACTTTCCACATCCTGACTGCTGATCTGTAGCACAGACTGGTTCACAAAATCGACTGTCAACTGTTTACAGTTAATGTCTATCTTAAAACCCTAACAAAGGAGACAAGAAAATAGGAAAACAAGGTTACACATATAAATGTCTTATTATTCTACCAGGAATTGGAAAGTCTTAAGTAACATTAAGATGGATGTTATCAGTTCCATGGCTTAGTCCAAATGGCACAATTTGTGCGCATTTGCATGACCCATTGTTTTCAGAAGTTGAGTATATATTTGTATATGTTTATATAAACACACACAGATACGCATATATATATTTAGGTAGAAGATGTAGAACCGGATAAATTACATAACCTCACTATAAAATATTTATAAATTATAGCATTTATTTTTATGATTTCTATGATTTTTTAAAAATAACACCAAATTATTCAAAATTATTCTTAGCACTGGACAACTTTTCTTATGCTTATAACTATGTATGCAGTTTTCTTGCCTTTGAATGCCCATCTGGTCACCATGTAAGGAATACATATTTCAAGACCTGATTTCCATAATTTGAATTTTTGAGTTCTTTCAAATAAAATAGTCTAAAAACATGAAAAGTTAAAAGCAAAAAATATTGATTACCTTATATTTCTGAAGGTATTCATGAATTGCTTTGTAACCTATGGAATTCTTTATATTATCTTCATCATTTTGAATAACATTTTCCATTAGAGAAATCCAACTCATGACCTCAGAAATGGCATGGCGGGAAGGCAGCTTATCCATTTGGAGCTGTCCAAGTCAGACACAGAACAATCCCCAAGTGTTAAAATTCGAAACCAAGTTCTGCTAACTTAAAAATCCTACATTAATTCCTAAATATGTACCAAGAGAGATAACACTCTTGAATGACATTTTGATATCTTAACCCTATTAGAAAGCTTGAAGTTAAACATCAGGCAAACACTGAACAATAATAGCCATTTTATGTTCACTTGACATCCAACACTATAAACATTGTATAAACATTAATTAATTAATGAAAACACCAGCAAGAGGAAAATATTACTCTTATTTTATAGCTAGTTTTATGAGTTAAAAAAACTTAACTACAAAACATTCAACAGATGTATTTTATTAATTATCTTGTAAAATCTCTGTGTATTATGGCTCAGGAATGTTAAAAGAAGAAAGAAAAATACAACACTACAAGCTATCATTTTCTGGAGTTTTTGGCACTCTCATGTTTATTTCCAAGAGAATAGCCAATTTTCTAAGTCTGTAACTAAAATACACTTAAAATTCTGAGTCTTACTTAGTATATCACGCATTTATGCACATACTTATTAGAATAATCTGGAGGAACAAAAGCAATCATGTAAAATATTTATAAATCAACTCCTGTGTGGTGCTGAAAGATGTAGGGTTGAACATGGATGGTTGCTGTCCTCTAGGAATGTATAGCTGCTGATTAGGAGACACAAGGCA